TATTCCGTGCTCCGTAGGGCGTATTGCCATTGCCCTATTCGTTGCGCTATTGGCCGCTCTGACCGCCTCGGCCGCCTCTGCCTCCGTTGTTCTGGTTGCCGCGGCCCGGGTTGGTTTCGGCCCTGCACCATTTGGCGATATGGCCGGCCATGCCGTAGTTGAAATACAAGCCCTTGTTCGCGCGGCGGTTATATTCGGCCTGGGAAACCTTGATTTTCGCGACCTTCAGGCGGTCTAGGTCCATGGGGTCGTATACGTTGTTACCGTTATTGCCCTTGTTACTGCCTTGGTTGCTATGGTTACCGCCATGGTTATAGCCGTTGTTCTTCCTATGCTTTGCATTCTCAAGGTTAATCGCAAGCTTGTTAGCTATATCGACCTAATTCTCCTAGTTATTCGTGGCAGGCAGGTTAACCTATATTGCGACTACGTTATATAGGCTGTCATTGAACTTCTCGCGTAGACTATATATATAAGCGGCATCGTCCTACTCGTATTCGTCTGCCAAGTTATTAAACTCGGTAATAAAGTCGGTAAAATTAGCCCAGCGGCCGGTCTAGGTTAGGTTACGTAGCTTGTTTTCTACCGCTACGGCCAGGTCCATTGTCTTGTATTTCTTAGCCAGGTAGGCTAGGAATTCCTCGCCTGTTTTCCAGGGCTATTCTAAGTCGTTCTTGGGGCTTGCGTTGACCTTGTCAAGGCCCCTGATGATTAAGGAAAAGGCAATACCCTCGAGCATTGAACTAGCGTATGAAATCTTGCTATATTCGTTGGTATAGTCCCTAGGGCGGCTATTCTAGCGCCCGACGATTTTTATGCGCCAGGTACGGAACTAGGCTGTATACTTGGCCACGTCGTGCTCCTAACCGTTAAACGGCTGCGGGTATATAATGGTTATATTAACTAGCTTGCTAACGTCCTCGCTCGTACTGCCTGTCTTGCCACTATTATTAACCAGGGTTGCCATGCTCGCAATAACGCCATCTTTGGCCGTGTTCGCTATCTCCAGGCTTGCAACGTATACCTGGGCCTCGTTCAGGAGCGCCTGGGTGTTATAGAGGCTCTGCTCGAGCTCCCGGGCGCGCGCCTATATGCCAGCAAGAAGCTCCTGGACCCTATTATAACGCTCGGTTTCAATTTATAACATATGCTCGAATAATATAATAACCTTGGCTCCTAAGCTCTGGCGAAGGCTCTAGTAGACTATGTATAGGACATTCTCACTATTGAAAATAGGGCGATTATACGTATCGAGCCAGTTCCTTAGCCTCAGGTGCTTCGTTCCGTCGATCAGGTTGACGATTTCCTTATATACATCGCGCCTGTTGTCCTTGGTCGCTTCGTAGGCGACCTTCTCTGCTTCGTTTCTAGGCTTAATCTTACTTTTCTCGCGCGCCAGCAAGGGCATTGCCCGCGGCGAATCGGCCTCGTATAATACGTCCCCCGAGTACGCCGTCTCCAAGTCGTCGTCCGTATCGGGCATCGTAAAATCCCGGTATGCCATGCTTATAATGTCATATCACTGCCGCCTTGGCACTGCTCAATGCCGTATTCCGACGGCTCCGAAGGCCGTGATTCGCTCACTTGAATCCTTGTAACCGTAAACCGGTGGTCCGCGCCACGTTCCGACTGGCCATAGAGCTCTGAAGTCGCTGTATGGAGAATCGCTCGGCGTACCGAATCGCCGAAATGTCGCTCAGAATTGCTGAAACTCTCTGAATCAATTGAAAATGGCCTATAGTTGCATAGCCAGTCGAAAGAACGCGCACGAACTAGAGGTGCAACCAACTATCACGGACCGTATAGGGTGCAATGGTATATATGTGGTTGCACGAGGGAACCAGAAGTGTGGCCCTGCCGCGCGCAGGGAAATACCCTGCGCTGCACAGACCAACCCTGTGGGCCCGACCAGGGCTCCACAACCCTCGTGCCTGAACCCTAACCCTACTCTACGACATGGCACGGGCTATGCCCGTGACAGTCGTAGCCGTTACGATGAATTGCCTGGCTAGGTACGCAATCCAAAGGAAGTTCAATATTGTCACGAGGGCCGTCGTTCAAGGCCAGGGTCAAGCCTCTGGTGGTAAACTGACTGCATTGCAAGAATATTGAACTTGCAGGAGGAAAGGAATCCTCGAAGACTGCAAGGTGCGAAGAAGTCTAAATATAGGATGTGGAGCATATGCCCAGATGTGGAATGTGGGGCACCAACCAGGTTGACCAATCAATGGCCTGTGCCATAGTACGGTGGGTTCCACCGTCACAAACGGCTAGTAGGGTGCTAGCCCGGCTAAGCCGTGGCCACGGGTGTGGTTAGCCGGGCTCTCTAGCTTCCAGTTCCTCATCGAGGTTCCGAGCGAGCCTATATTCCCCTAGCCGGCCCGAGTCCATTAGCCAACCCAGTACCTTCTTCAGAAGTCTTCGGTTCCAGTAGCCTAGGCCCTGTAGAATAAGGCTAAGGTCCCGGTGAGTGCGTATTAGTTGCCTAGGCCAAGTTCTTGGTATAGGTGGTATAGAGCGCCAAATCACAAGATGCTCTACTGTCTCTCTAGCTTCCCCGCATTCGCAATAGGGGGTAGGCTGGTTACGGGCCTTTTATTTGAAAAGGAAGTCCCGTAGGCCTATAGCCCCTGTACGAGCCTGTACTAGTAGGGAGCTCTTAGCCTTTGTAAGGCCTTGGTGTTTCTATAGGCTCTGGTTTGTGAAGAGGACTGTTGGTAGGCCTTCGTCGGCTAGCCTAGTTGGCTGTCCTTGGACTTGGGTATTCCACCTAGCCTCCCAGGCTCTTAATAGTGCCCAGTCTTCTTGGGTCTTAGCCAATGGTGGGCCTAGGGCCTTAGCTTGGGTGTTCCATTCGGCCACTGTAGCCGAGGCCTTTTCGACATCTGTTGGCTTTTCTAGGCTCCAGGGCCGGCGCCGTAGCGACCGGAACCTCCATTGGAGCCTGTTGCAGGCCCCTTGGATGATTTCCTTTAGTCGGCGCCTCGGGGCCTCTGGGCCTAGCCCGGCCTGTAGGGTAGGCTTGTTGAGCTGGTCTTCGAAGTCGGCCAGCCTCTTGTTAAGATAAAGGTCTAGGGGAGGGATCCAAGTTTCCGTCTCGAGATTCCGTATAGGGGTAGCCTTATAGGCCCCAGCTACGATGCGTAGGCTTCGGTTCTGGGCCTTTGCTAGGTCTCTGGCTAGGTCTTGTGGTGAGCCGTTGAGTGTTGTAGGCTTGTGGAAGCTGGATGCCCCATAGGCTATTGCACTGCGAATGCACTTAGTGTAGACCTCTCTGGCCCTGATTAGCCCCGGGCCCCAGGTCTTGGCTGCTATCCTTGATAGAGCAAAGTCTTGGGTTCTTAGCTTGGTAGCTATGCTAGCTCCGTGGGCCTTCCAAGAAAGCCTCCAATCAAGCCAGACCCCTAGGAACTGGGCTGAAGCCGTTGGTTTGACTATAGTATAGTCATAAGGGTGGCCGGGTTTGGCTAGTTGTAGTAGTTCGGACCACTGCTTTCGGCCTTTGTTGAAGTGGATCAGCTCTGACTTGGCCCCATTGAATTCTATTCCGTAGGATCTAGCCCACTGTAGACACGTGCCCCAGGCTTGTTCCAGTTGCCAGCAGTTAATATAGGAGTCCCTTCCAAAGGCTAGGAGGTTAGTGTCATCTGCGAATCCCACTAAGCTAACCAGAGGGTGCTTTTCCTTTAGTACTTTATATAGCGAGGCTATATATAGTATAAAGAGGACTGGTGATAGTGGTGATCCTTATGGCACTCCAGCTCGAATGTTGATTTCCGGGGCAAGTTGGCCGTCGAATAGGAGTGTGGCCTTCCGGCCCGTTAGCCACGACCGTAGCCAACCTACAAGCCATGGTGGGAGCCCAAGGTCCCGAACCGTAGCCAGTAACTGGAAGTTTATACTTATATAGAATATAATTATAAAGTATAGTATCTAGGAGGTAGATATCTATAACTTTGATAAGATTGGGTTTCTAATAGGCGTTATCTCAACTATAATAGTTGTTATAAGCTCTAAACGGCGTAGTAGGGCAAATTTAAAGCAGCCTAGTAATTAAGAGTGGGCAACGGCAATCTATAGCGTTAATACGGCTAGCTAGGCGATCCCGCCATTTATTATTATCAAGGGTAACTATTATCTCTCCTCCTAGTATAAGAACAGCCTATTATTAAAAAGCTAGGTTATTACAATATCCGAAAACGGTTAGATAACTAATAATAGAGGTCTAGAATAGATTCAGTACTTTGATAAGTATATTAAAGGTCAAATAATTAGAGTTTATTGCCTTCTTGTCCTTAATAGCTATAATAGCTACTATTCGACCGACTTCGAACTCTACTATAAGAAGAATAATATTATTACGCTCTATATACCTCCCTACTTGTCTTATATCCTCTAGCCGCTTGATATTAGGTGTTTTAGCCCGTTTAAAATAGTATATAGCAAGCAAATCGAGGGGTTGATATAGGCAAGTATAACTTATATTACCAAGAAGGACTTCTTTCCTGCGTTCTATACTACTTTCTAAGCCGCCCTAACCCCTAAAAATATTCAAGGAGGTTTTCAAGGTGATGGACTTGCTCCTTTTAATCCCGAGAAAGTAATCTCGCAGCTCGATATCCGTCTAAATATACCAATACCCTCGAACTCGCGGCCCGGCAGTGCCTATATCTAGGTTTCCAAGACCCCAAACAACCTAATAGAAGCCTCCTCGTAGTCCACCCTTATCAAGAATCGAATTGCCCGGCATTAAAATAGCTCTCCAACCGAGATTTTGAGGGCGGTTGATATATTTGCAAAAGGGACATCTAAGGTCATATATCAGTTGGCATTATTGTAGGTAGAGAACCAGAGCCTCCGAGCTGCAAATGAGGCGCTAAGTAAACGCCGGAGAGCCAAAAAACAGCAGCTGCGGCAAGGAGGATCGCTTTCTGTACAGGATGCATAGGATCTAGAGGGTCAGAGAGAGGTTGAGGTGCAGATAAAGGAGGAAACGCAGGCGGGTAGTGGTCGGAAGCCGAGGATTGAGACGCGTGCGCGGCGTTGTAGCAACTGCGGTGAACCAGGCCACAATGCGCGTACCTGTCAGATAGTTGTAGAAATGTCGGAGGAAGACGATTCCGAGTAGCTTCATTTGTTTTGAGGTGGTTAGGTGGAATTAATACAGATTTAGTTGAGAGGGTGTAGTTTAGTGTAACTTTCGCATGTATGTAACTTTCGCTATACACCTACGTTAGCTATTTTGTTATTATAAATATCTTCGTCCGACGGGATCCGATCAGGAAACCTCCGCTGCGAGATTCCCGGGTTGTGAGGACGCTATGTATTCTCGCACGATGCGGGGGTCAAGGATTGAAAGGGGAGCCGTAAGTCACTGTTCCCTTGGGAGACTCAGAGCAGGATCGACACGTAGAATAGCCCCGGAACATGGCAGCGCGGAGCGAGATGTCTTATACTGATGAGTACTAAGGTAGTAAATACATACGCACAGCATCTACGCATACCCGTTCGCAACCAACCACTCCCTGACCTGCTTTACATCCCTCGCCTTATACGCCGCCCGCCCGCGGATCTTGTCCTTGACCTGCTCCAGGGTGCGGTCGAACGCCTTGGTGTCGACCCCGGCAAAGAAGCGCTCGATCTCGTCGAGGCTCTGCGTGTCCGTGAACAAGGGCAAGCTGACATTGACCATGCGGTCCACCAGGATCGGGTTGCCGCCCAGCTTGGCGCCGAAGCGGTCCCAGTGGTCGCGCAGGTAGGCCCACAGCAGCGGGCGCGCCACGCGGTTGGCGGCCAGCACGCCAGCCAGGATGTGCATGTCGGCGGGCGGCACCGAGTCGGACGGCGGGGCGGTGTTGAAGAGGAAGGGCAGCAGGACGTCCCTGATGACGGCCTCGTCCGGGGTGTGGCCCAGCGCCTGCAGGCAGATCTCCTTGCCGTCGATGGCCGGCGTCGTGAACCACTCGTGCTTCAGGGCGGCGACCGTGCTGGAGGGGTCCTTTAGGATGGCGGCGCGGTATACCGGGGCGCGCAGGTCGGCGGCGATGGGCGCGGAGGCTGGGTTGGCCTGGTAAGCGGACCAGCGCTGGAAGGCGGCGGCGCTGACTCTATGCGGGGGTCAGTAGTGATCTTAACCTGTGAAGACGAGGATTGTGGCGGAAATAAAGGAGAGATGGGGAAGGGGTGAAACAAGCGCCGGCAACTGATAAACATACCCCTCATGCGAGTTCGCCACGGCGGTCAGCAACAGCCGCTTCCGCAGCAGGTTGGTGTTGAGGTCCTCATCCTTGGGGCCCTCCCAGCCGACCTGCTTCAGCGCCTTGTCGATCAACTCGAGCGTGAACTTCTCCAATCCCTTCTTGACCTGCTCGTCGTCGCCAAAGATGGACTTGAGCGTGGCGATCGAATCCAGCGCCTGGCTCAGCACGCGGTAGTGCGTCTCGCTCTTCAGGCCCTGGATGAACGACAGGAGTGCACCGGTCGTGGCATATCCCGAGAACGCGAGGTCGGCAGCGGAGCCGGTGATAAAGATCTTGTCCTCGGTGGTGAGGTGCTGCAGCTGGGTGCCTAGCAGCTTCATCCTGGACTCGGGGTAGTTGACGCGGTAGAAGCCGGTCGCGTTGGCATTCAGCTGGTAGAACTCCTCGCTGATTCCGTCAAAGGTCGACTCCTTGGCGGTGAGAGTAAGGGGTTCGACGCCCTGGGAGCCAATCTTGCCCCGGAGAGCGAGCGGCACCCACCAGGTGGTCTGGTCTTCGGCGGGCTTGACGTCTCCCGTGGAGAGGAAGCGAGACTGCTTGACCGAGATCTGCTGCTTGCCCTCGGTGACGGTGAGCACGGGAAAGCCCACCTTCTCGATCCACGGCTGCATCATGCTGCTGACATCGACGCCGGATGCCTCGCTCAGGGCGGCCCACAGCGCTTCCGTCTTGGCGTTGCCGTAGGCGTGCTTCTTCAGGTAGATGGCGATGCCCTTCAGGAACGTCTGGATGCCGAGCGTGGACGCGAGCATGCGGATCATGGAGCAGCCCTTCAGGTAGCTGATCTTGTCGAAGATCTGGTTGACGTCGAGCGCGTCGCGGACCTCGACCTGGATCGGGTGAGACGAGCGCACGCCGTCCAGCGCGAGCGCCTGGCTCATGCCCTCGTTGATGAACTGCGGCCAGACCTCCCACTCCGGGTGCAGGTAGTCGACCGCCAGCCAGCCAGCCCACGTGGCGAAGCCCTCGTTGAGCCAGAGCTCGTCCCACCAGTCCATGGTGACGAGGTTGCCGAACCACTGGTGCGCGAGTTCGTGCGCGACCACGTACGCGATCCTGTTCCGGAACCTGGCCTCGGACAGCTTCTCGTCGAAGAGAATAGCTGTCATCCGGTACGTGACCAAGCCCCAGTTCTCCATGGCTCCGTGCGTGAACTCGTGCACGGCCAGGATGTCGCTCTTGGGCAGCGGGTAGTCGATCTCGAACTGCTCCGAGAAATAGTCGATCACCTTGGGCGCGTGCTCCAGCGCCCACCGGCCCTGTTCCTGCAGCCCGCGCGTCGTGTACACGCGCACGGGCAGCTTCTTGCCGTTGTACTCGCGGTCGGTAAACGCCTCGACGTACTCGAAGTCCCCGACGGCCCACGCCAGCAGGTACGTGCTCATGACCGGGCTGCGCTCAAAGGACACCAGCTTCTTGCCGCCGCCGAGCTGCTTGATCTCCTTCTCGGGCATGTTGGACAGGGCGACCTGGTCATCGGGGATCTCGATGGCAAAGTCAAAGGTGGCCTTGAGGTTCGGCTCGTCGAAGCAGGGGAACGCACGCCTGGCATCACACGACTCGAACTGGGTGCTGAGCATATAGTGGAAGTCATCATCGCGGGGCACGCTCGGAGCCGCCGGGGCTGCCGGCTTGTACTGACTGCGGTAGAAGCCAGCCATATCATGGTTCAGCAGGCCCGTGAAGTCGATGGTCAGCGACGCCTTGACCGACGCGGGCAGCTCCTCGGGGAACGTAATGGTGGACCGCTGCGACTTGCTGTCCTCGGCGAAGGTGGTCGACTCCCATGACTGGTTACTCTTACCCTGGCTGACGACGAGCTTGGAGTGGTACAGCGTGAGCTCCAGCGTGTTCAGCACGATCTCTCTTGTGGGCTTGATGATCTCGCCATCGATCCTGCCGGTCTTTTAGCAAGCGGCCCCCGATGTTGACCGGCGAACACCTAACTAGGTACGTACCTGACGGTGCCTTTGTATGACCAATTCTTGAAATCGAGGTCCCGGATCACCAGGTCATAGTGGACCGGCCTGAAGTTGTCCGGGAGGATATCTCGATCCGTCATGGTTGCCAACTTGTGCCGGAAGGATGCGTGGGAACAGGGACGGCGCAACCCGCTAAGTGCTGCGGCTGCTGCTGAGCGGACTGGGCTTCTGCGGGCTCTTGTTGTGGACTTTGCCGGCAGCGATGAGATGTGCCTGGAATTGCCGGCCTGGAGAGTAAGAACAGTGGCCGGGGAGAGCTGGTGCACACAGAAAGCTCTGTTTAGGGACGAAGCTGCAGATAAAAACCTTGCTCTAGGCAAAGATCTGGCGACTGTTGAGAGAGGCATGAACGCTCTCGTGTTGAGATCTGGATTCGGAGCTCAGGCCGTACTCCACCTTATTACACATGCAGGCGCAGCTCGCCCTACCCCTCCTACCCTCCAATGATGACCGTAATGTGTATGGTAACGGTAGGATGCCGGTTGAAGTCAGTACCAGAGCTGAGATGCCGCTTTCACGGCAACTTTGAACCACAATGGCCAAGGCGCGTCATCCACAGAACGGAATGTCTCAAAAAGGCATCTGAGAAAATCACCACAGGAAAATTTAAACACAGCTTCCTCATCTGGATGCACCAAAGTCGGAGTGGATCAAGGCAAAGATGGAAGGAGGACGACGTTGTGAATCTCGCATGTTGAACCCCACCAACGCACCATCGGGGCGGGTCCAGTATTGCCGAGCATCGCGGACGGTGTTTAACTTTTCCCGCACCCTGAATTGAATCGTCATTCCCCATGGGAAAAGAATACTGCCACATACCATGACCCACGCGGTGCTTTAGGAAGCTAGGATGTTGAATCGAAGGAGACAGAACCGCTTTGATATCGAGATACTAGTACCCCATAACTGAACAAGTAGCATGATCCATATCCCGCTGTCCTCATACCAAAACAACACGTTTACATGCGGCAGTAACAACTAAGTAAAGCTCGAACCCCTTTGGCCTCAACCCATCCAGCGCCGAGTGTGCACAAAGCGAGAAGCCAAAGCTTGGGATGACCACCTCACAACCAAGCCGATGAAAAGCAATGCCCGTAACGACAGCAAAGATGACCCTAGGAAATACAGTTTCACCCAGTCGAACAGCGTACACCGCCAGGGCCACAGGAGCCCTTGTCACAGGGCGGCAGGATAGCTACGAGCTTCCATTCTCCTCGCCCTCAACAGCCGCAGCAACCCGATCCCACCACACGCCATGCGCCTCTCGGTCCACAGCCGAGACACGCCCCATCATATCCACCATGTCCCTAACCTTCTCCACAAACTCGGCGAGACCCAGCGACGCAAGCTTCTCGCCAGCCGTGCTCGTGGCCATGACCTTCTCGCTCGCAGACGCAGCCGCCAGTCGGGCCAGGACGTGTCCGCGCAACCGGCCGAGCAAAAGCCGGAGGACCGGCTCCCTCAGCTCGCTGTCCCGCTGCGTGGCCGCTTCCGCGCTGGCGGCGAGGAACTTGTGCACCATGCCTCGGAGATGCTGCTTCGTGGCGGCGGGCATGGAGCGCCCTGCTTCAAGGGCAGCAATGATGCCTTCGGCAGCGACCTCGGGTGTCATATCACCTTGTTGGTCGCCCCCCTTTTCGAGTACCGCAAATATGCGCTGCCCTTCGTTCTTCCACGGGATGCGTACGTCGCGCTTGAGGAGGTTCTTGCACTGCAGAAGGATGGCCGCGGCGGTAATGATGCGGCGCGTGACGCGCCCTGCCTCGAGGAGTCGCTTGTGATCGAGACGGAGCATCTCGGGAGTGTCCTCCAGCGGAACCGGAGAGAGCTGTGTGAAGAGGTCGACGAGGAGCTGCGCATAGATACGGTCCGCGGTTAGGCGCGAGGTTGGGTGGTTAACGCCCTCCGGATCTCTGCGAGACGTCTCCGTGAGGAGCTTATGGCGTGCAGCACGCCATGACTTGGTGGCCGCGGACAGGTCATGTCTTCCTGCTTCAAGATCGGCGGCAAAGGCTTTGGCCTCGTACGCTGGTGCTTGCTGAAGCAGGCGTGGCGCTGCCAAGTGAAGTAGATAATTTGCATAATCGCTGAGCATGACGTCGATGAAGCTGTTCAGGGCCTCTAAGCGATCCACATAGCTACCCTGAGACAGCTTCTCCTCGGCGAGCGTCTTGACCTCACCGTCCCGGATCGGCGCACAGAGCTTCGGGAGCAATGAGCCCATGGCCTGGAAGAACTTCTCATATGAGAAGCTGCCCATAGTAAATTGGCGCCGGGCAATGTCGGTGTCTAGTAGCTCTCCAATGAAGCTATGCATGGAGTTGCCGGGTTGGACGAGCCGCTGGAGCTTCTCGCGGATCAAGTCAGCGACTTGCAAGAGCAGGAAGAAGTGGGCTTCCTGCTCCTGCTCATGCATCGTCGCTCGCATCCCCTGAAAGAGCGGAGCAAGCAACCGCTCTTGTTGTTCGTGGTACTCGTGGGGGTCAGTGCGGTATTCTTTGTTGATGGCCAACTCGTGGGCAACGATCCGGTTGTCTGGCAACAGGCTGCTCCGGGCGGGCACCACGATGCTGACTTTGAATGGTTCCAGCTTTCGCGAAGGTGTAGCCGGGGGTGTAAGAGTCTGCGTTTGTTGTGGGTGATCTTGGCTCTCTTCCACGCCAAGAACTCCCATCGCTGTCTCTGTGACGGCATGGTCCGCAACACGCGGTTTCGTATCGCCCACAGGCTTCTTCACCCGTGCCTTGCGCGCGGCCTTTACAGCATCCGCGACCAACTGCTTTCCCTTGGCCGCGCCAGCCAGCTTCTTGATCCGTACCAACAGGAGGAGCTGGTTGTCACGGATGCTCTCCTTGTACACCTGATCCACCGAGCCGTCGGTGCTGTCCTTGACCGACTCCCAAATGGCATCGAGCTCCACGAACTGCATCACCATCAGGTCGACGAGAGAGCTAGAGTCTCGAGCCTTCCACGCGATCAATGCGTTGTAAAAGGTAGCATAAACTTCAGGGAATTCCGACAGTAGCGCCGGCGGTGGTGTGTAGTTGTTGAATGCTGTCAAGCGGCCAAGGATGTTCTCAAATAAGACTAGCAGGTCCCTAGCCTTGCCTACTAGTTCTTGAGACTGGGGATTGGCCAGGCCGTCCTTAGGAATGGGCTGCACCTGACTCAAACGGGCCTGTTCTCGGATCTCCTCCGCGCCCTTGTTGCTGAGCACTTGCGATGGGTGGCCCAGGATGAGGAAGGCACTCAAGAAGGACCGTACCGACGCCATTTCCTCCACGGAGCCCGGTTCGCCCTCATTGAGCCCGCAGATGCGAAGTATGCGGGCCGTCAACGTCAGGACGCTCTCTTGAGACAACAGCGCGGTGACTTCATCAAAGGACGCCTCTCTGACCGCGTCTAGGGACAGACCCAGCGCAGAGAACTCGGCAACAGTCTGCTTCCTCTTCTTGGTCCTCCAGAAGCTCTGTATCCTAGAGGCAGCGGTATCCTCTGTCAGGGGTTTGGCCGCTTGTTCCTTCGCCTCCTTCACCTCGGGCATGACTTCGACCGACGAGGGCTTCCGAGTGCCCAGACTCTGCCCGCGCTCTCTTCCCTTGGCCCTGGCAGCATTCCGACTGCGAAGCTCTTCCCTCCGTCTCTCGGCCTCGGCAAGACGTTCCTCCATCTGCAGCTTCAACTTGCGGATCTCTTGTTCGCGTCTTTCCTTCATGCTTTCGGCTACCGCCTTGGCCCTTCTGACTTCCTCGGCACACGCGGCAGCAATCTCGGCGAGATTGCGCTCACGCGCCTGGGCCGCGGCAAGGGCCCTTTCCTCACTCACGCTCGAGCTCTTGGACACGGCCTTGGCGAGGGCCGCGCGCAGACGCACCTTTTCGGCGTGCGCGGCACGGTCTGCAAGCCGGGCCTTCCGGTCCTCGAGAATCGAGGCCCGCCGGAGATGTTGGGCGACATATTTGCTCTGGGGGCCTATGCTGCGCCCGCACCCGTGCGAGGAGCGTGAATGTGCAGAGGATATGCTGTTGCGGCGGGACGACGCAGCGCTGTCTTTGCGCCGGTTCTGGTTCATCGAGCGGTAGAACAGCCGCGCGGCGATGTGTGGAGGTGGGGTGTACACCTTGGCAGGGCCTTCGCCGTCTATGTCGACGAGTTCCATCTCTTCGGTAGGCGGCATCAGAGAGATAGCGTCCGACATATCTCCAGATGGTTGTCCATTCGACTCGTCTAGGTTCCGAGCGGGCTCGGTTAGATCAACCGACGGGCGCCGCATCGTGAGAAGTATGGCGGGGTTGTTCCAATCGGATTGCGTCGGGGTGAACACCTCAGGGCGGTAGTCTGGAATCGATATTCGACCTGTGTATTGTGGAGATGGGCGATTGTGTCATGAACTTGGTCGGAGAATGAATTGGCGGGCTGTTGATATGTCTGCTGAGAACAAACGCGCCGGATGAAAACGGCCAAGCTTTGGAACGGGATTGCTGGGAAGCGGACGTCGAAGTCCGTGGGATCGAAAGGACCAGAAATACTGGGGAGTGACAAAGAATAATAAATGAAGGTTCGAAACTGAAGGATTGCCGGCCGAGCAAGTCTGCTTACTGAAACGCCAGCAGGGCAGAGGATGAGGCGAGCGAGTGGAATAGAAGGCAGGGGAACTTCACGATGACGGCAATCGGAAGCCATGTCCTAAGCTGGCAGGCAGACAGGTGGGGCAGGTGTCCGCCAAGGCGAGCATATCTGCTTATCGATAACTGACCTGCAGGCTAACACTAACAATCCTTCGAGTCAGCCACTAGACATTTTGCTAGCAGCATACCAAGCAGGAAACGCTTGCGTTATACGGATAAATTATCGATGCTATCGAGACGCTGACTGTCTGAGGACACCTTGCAATTTCGATCTTGTGACCGAACTTCAAACTTCAAAACAACGGGTTCAAGGCAGCCACTTAGCTGTCGGCAAAGCCGAGGAACGGAGACAGAATGGACATAGTTTCGTGTCTGTTATTCATGCGGTAACTCGCGTAGTATCAGACTGACCGCTAGCTAATTCCCATAACGTTCGAGATTTTAATTTCAACGGCTGTTCGCCCTTCACCTCCGCCCAGCCTCCAACTCTACCAACGAGCTATTTACCGTCAAACTCCGGCCGGGAGGGTTCCCTGTACCTAACCTCGAGCCGTGCAGTTCATGCACAAGCCTCCGTCCCCAGTCTGAATCGCCCGGCAACTCCGGCGACAGCCACAGCGGATCGTTGGTGGCCATCTCCGCACCGTATACATAGGCAAGCAGTTCGCTGTCGCTCTTCTCACCCTCGCTCAACTTCCTGCGACTTGAGGGAGACATCCCGGCCTGGTCCTCTCCCCGCCGTCGTTTCCTCCGCCGCCACGTAAGATACGCAACCTCCACCGCCACGAGAAGCGCCACGGCCAATATCAACCCGATCGTCAGTGCGGCCGCTGTGGCCGAGGACATGTCTGGTTTGGCCTGGTCGGGGTCGGCGGCTGATGTGTCTGCGTTTCGCGACGGAGCCACAGACGACCTTGTCGGTGCTGCTGTCGTAGTGGCGACCGCCGAGGTGCTCTGTACGCCTTGTACGTTTACCGAAGAGTTTCCTGCAGAGTCTGCCGAAGATCTCAGGAGCAAGAAACCGGGGCTCGACAGGTCTGGGTCTGACGAGATGAACCGGCCTTGGCTTGTCGGTGGTTTGAAGCGGAGGACGTATCTTGTCTCATTGGCCAACTCTGCCGTTGGCGGATCGGACGTGACCAGTTTGAGATTTCCATCGTGGTCAAGGTTCACCGCCCCTTGTTGGTCGCAATAGTGAGCTGGGTTCTCTGTGTTGCGGCGGACTTTCCTCGGCGAGGAACTTACTGGCTAGGCAGAGTGCTACCGGCTCCGGGTCTGCTGCCCAACTGGTGAGCCACAGGTCGTAGACGCTGTTGTTGAGCGCATTCCACGAAATGACGACTGCGTCTCCGTCGGTATAGGTCTCTGAAAAGTCGGGTCGGCTTCCGTTCGGTGTGTTCCACAGGTATTGCCTCCGGATGGCCTCTGCGTTCTCGACTCTCCGGCCTGGAGGTCCCGGGGTCCGGCGGCCAATGGGATGGTCCGGTATCGCCATATTCGGATTCATTTTGGATACTCACACAGCGGGACAGTAGCAACAACCCAGGGACCGAACATGCTAAGCTCAGCGAGCAACCGTGCAGAATGGCCGGATCTTATCATGCACACAGCCATGCCCTCCTCGGCTCAGGAGTTTTCTCAGCTCGTCGGCCGATGTTGCATCTTTCGCCAATGTATGCCCTACGAGAAAGCCTTTCCTAGGCGGCAGATTGGGTCGCAGAGATGTGGAGGGATCTAACATGTTGGTGAGCGAATAAGTCGCTGCAGTGTGTGCAGAAGCGCCTGCTCGAACCGACGGAGCAACGGTAACCATTTGATATTTGGCCGGGTCGTTGGCCGGGACCCAGGGCGGCGCTTAAACCGCTTCGTCGGGAACCAAGATTCTTCGGGTGCACCAATGACACTGCGCCAACTTCGTCTAGCTCGACGCGTCAAGCTCGGGGCTACACGCGACGTCGCCGAGGCCCCCAACTTCACCCTCTCGCGGTAGCTTGGCCCTGACACGTGTGTGGCTTGCGCACTGAGATGTGCGCGAGAACTTGAGAAGCGGTTTGTGGCTTATCAAAAGATTTGGTCCCATCTGCACGTTCCTGGCCTCCAAGCAACGCGATTCGCAGCTGCTTCCTTAGTCTGACTGACTGCCCTCCCGCATGCGATAGGTCGGCAAGGGACGGTCTGTTGAAACGCATCGAGGGAGAAACTTTGACATTGATCATGCAGGACTTGGCTGCATCCGGCAGCGTACAGGCTGCAGAGCCTCCTCTTCCCGGAACCAGATACTTTGCGCAGTTCTTTCCGATTCCGTGCTACACGAAGCAGGTAACATACGGACATGCATCGCAGGCACACGTTAGCACGACTGCCAGCAGCAGCAGCAGCAGTCCGATCTCCGCGTGCAGATCTAGCCTTACCGTGCATCTCGGATGGGTGCGTCACAGCATTCCACAGCCGACCCGGCCCGGCCGAGACCTGCAGGTCTGCATCGAGGATTCCAGGCCAGCAGATCCGGCCCAGTCAGCCGCAACCGTACCAGCACCGGCAACCCAGTCCACCTGAAGCCGGGCTGGTGGCTGAGGCCCGAGGGATGCCCGGCATCTTGTGGCTGCAGGACTAGGGAAGTCTCCTACCCCATCATGGAGTGTCGTGACTCTTGTGACACCATGTCTGGGTGAGCAGTTCACAACGGTGAGATATTGAGTCTATAGCAAAGGGCAAGTTGCGGTTCGGTAAATGGAAGGCGACATGACGGCCTACAACTTGCCGTCACTGCTGCTCTTTTCTACGAGAAATATCACATTTTCGCCCGGCTCTTAGTTCAAAGGGACAAACGGTCAACCGCGCAAACCGCCTCCCGTTGAGTGCGCTTCGCTCTTGCTCTGTGCTCACGCTCCTCGACTCTGTAGTGTTCCGATGATGGAGATGCGTTGATGCGCTAGTCCCCACCTACTGGTAGCACTCAAGTTCTCAACAGCGCCGGGATTGATCCATATCTGAGACATCAGGAACGGTATCTCCGCGCTTGAGTTTCTCGGCATGCGGAGTCGTGAAAATAACTTTAAAAAAGCCCGGCGTGCTTGGGCCGGGCACGTTAGGTTACGTGTATGTATTGCACATGCACGTTTAACTAGACTAGAGAGCCGGTCAAACAAAGCCGCGGTACAGCAGAGCGCAGGTGACGGCGCTGAAATTAGACCACCCGTTTCTCACTCAGATTGTCGTTGATAGACCATGGACCTTCTCATAAGCCCCGGGTACAACGAACCCTATCAAGCGGCAGTACTCGCTGAGGCTGTCATGGTAAGGTATGTAGTACTTTACCATACACATCGTTCTCGCCAAGCTTGTGATTAGGTTGACCCTGGAAGTTTCCAATAACCTTATCACTAGCGCTAAAAATAGCGCCCAGAGTATTGGGTCCAGATCAGTGAAAATGACGGCGACACGTTCGACAACTACGGTACAGTAGTGAAATGATATTGGAGGCTGAGACGAAGTGTTGTAGTGGTGATGCGAGCAGAACTGCTCTTCCAAACCAAAGAATGATCGTCCCCTTTCGCCATGGGTGCAGAGTGTTTGCTTCGTTGCATGCAAGTCTTTTGATCTTGTTCGGAATGTAACAGGGTCCGGATTGGCCGGAACCCGTGAAAGAAGCAACCTCGAAAGTTCCGAGTGATGGAAGGACGTCGTCGGTCCGACTGTTCCGCACACAAGAACCATGCCTAAGGTACCAGGTAGTCATGCTCCTCCTTTCCTGTATGTACTGTACTATTGTATTGTACGTACATACGGAGTACATAACGTTACACGGGACAGTTCGAGTCTTAACTGCGCTGGTTCAATGGGCGGGACTGGGGTGTACAAACTTTTGCTCCTGAACTGACGCTAGTTACAGTCGTCAAAATTCTGTCAGTGTTGAACAGGCTGAGAAGATCTTCGTGTACAGCATCGATCGACTTTCGGAAAACCAAATTCGGGTACCCTGAAACAGGCATGCAGCCCGGATTTTCCAAAGCACGCAAAGGGGAACATTCCGCAACTCCACTTTTTCCAAGGCACAGCCGGGAACAGGACATAAGCGTACCGTTTCCCCCACAGCATTCATCAGATAGCGTAACCTGCGAGGCACTCCATACTTTGCCTTTCTGTACCGTGAGTGCTGGGAGCACAAGGTTACTTGCAGGTACCACATCGGACGAATTGATGTGGTCACCACGCTAGCGAGTCCACTCACAATGGATGAATCTCGCACTGACCCAATCAGTGGCAACCGACCTCCTTCAACGCCCACTTTAACGGCTGACAGCTGAAGAAAGCCGGTGCTCGTATTCCTTTCGCTCATCTCCTACAGCGTCCTGCACTTCGCATGAGTGTCGCTGAGGGTCGTCCACTTCTTCACTATCTTCAACCCACCCTCAGAACTTTTGGTTGCGATCACAGTCGGCCCGGCACATATTGGTGAGCTTTCGGGGCAATGTGGTCATCGTTTCCGTGTCCCGTCCGAACCCCTGCAACTCGATGATTTCGGCCAACTCCAAGACCCTCTTCGGTCCAGACCGCGCTCGTTCGCCGTTCAAGATGTTGTCGCGAAAATCATACCTTATCGCCACCATTGCCACGGCCAGCATCCTCGTCCTCCTGTACACCTCGAGGATAGGCAGCAGGCCAGGCCTTGACGAACCATATTATCGCCATGGGACTCACGGAGGCCACCAAGCACCCCAACATTCCGCCGCCGATGCGTGCCAGTGCAACAGCACGGACGGCCCTCCGCCGCCTCCCCCGATTGTCTCATCCAGCCCACCGGCCGACCCGGCGTGCGAGGGCTTTCCAGACACGAGCAATGTGCTGTTGGTCATGAAGACCGGCGCATCCGAAGCCTTCGCACGGCTGCCGACGCAACTGGTGACCATGCTGAGGTGCCTGCCCGATTTCCTCATCTTTAGCGACATGGCCCAAAACATTGGCGGCTACCAGGTCCACGACAGTCTGGCGACCGTTTCGGAAGAAGTGCAGGAAGGCAACTCGGATTTCGACCTGTACCGCCGCCAGAAATGGTGTCTGGTCGACCAGGAAAACTGCAACAAGCTGGGGAACCCGGCCCGCGAAGGCTGGAACCTCGACAAGTACAAGAATGTCCACATCGCGGAGAAGGCGTACGGCATGCGCCCCAACTATGACTGGTATCTCTTCGTCGACGCCGATACCTATGTGCTCTGGCCGAACCTGATGCAGTGGCTGAAGAAGCTGGACCCGACCAAGAAGCTCTATCTCGGAAGCGTCACGCTGATCAACAACTTCAGCTTCGGCCACGGCGGGTCGGGCTACCTCGTCAGCAAGGGCGCGATGGACGCTTTTGTCGGCAAGAACCCGGGCGTCGCAAACGAGTACGACATGCGCGCCAAGGGCGAGTGCTGTGGCGATTACATCTTTGCCCTAGCGCTGAAGAACAAGACGGAGGTTGGCGTTCAGCAAATGGTGAGTTCACAGACTTCGTCCCTTTTCCTTTTTTGTCTGGAGAGATCAGGGCGGGTTGCGGCTTTGAATACCTATGTGGCATGCCTATCCAAGGTTTACACATCGCCTTGTGCGTGCGCGCTTGGAATCTGCATTCCGCACATCCTCCCACTTCCTGCCCGGCGCTTTCCCTCTTGAGAATGTGGCATAGGCGTAACTAACCAGTACCCACCCCACAGTGGCCCACCATCAACGGAGAGAAGCCCGCCACGCTCCCATTCGGCCCCTCGCACTGGTGCCACCCGATCGTGACGATGCACCACATGAACGCCGAGGAGATCAACACGTTCTGGCACTTTGAGCGGCGCAAGCAGCTCGCGCTGGCCGAGTCGGGCACCTCCCGGCCCCTCGTGCTCAAGGACATCTTTGAGGAGTTCCTCGCGCCCCACCTGAACGCGACGCGCGAAGACTGGGACAACCTGGCCGACAACCGCTTCTACCTCGACCTGGACGACGACGGGCGCAAGTGGGAGGAGTGGCAGACCAAGCGCATGAAGAAGCCCGAGGACTACAACGAGTACGAGAAGAGGGCGCACCTGTCGTTCGAGGACTGCGGCGCCGCCTGCCGCAGCCTGCCCTACAACGAGTGCTTCCGGTATAAATACCAGAACGGCGCCTGCGCCATCAGCAACTCGTTCATCATGGGCAAGCCGGTCAAGCGCGACGATAAGGACGAGAACAGGGTCATGAGCGGCTGGGACGTGGAGAAGATCCATGCCTGGATCCAGAAGCAGGGCAGCTGTGACAAGATCAAGTGGCCTGATGTCAAGGGCTAGGCGGGGCCGATGGCGCCCCCGATGACTGATATGATGCCGGTCAATTGGCATGGATTGCCTGGTTGTGCACATCCCGAGGGGATTTGCCAGTTGCCCGTTCCTATTTATGCGGTACTCCCGTATCTGGATGAGGCCGGGAGACCTGAATACTCCAAATGTATTTGGATCCACGCCGCTAGCCATTATTACTGGCTACGCCTTCTAGTAGCGCGGCATGGTTAGGATTGGTTCGTACAGCTTGGGTTGTACAAGCTTGGGTCACATCCTTTGATATCGTCCTCGACTGGAGATGGAGGCATTCGGTTGGGTCATATTTGGCGTTTACTCGGCGGGATGTCTAACGATATATCGCCACTGGGTATAGACTGGTGGTCTGGGGTGGTGGTTTCTGTCATGTTTACAAATTTAGATGGCCTTGTAGGGCCGTGTACATCTGTGTGTCTACAGCTAGCAGTGTTCAGCGGCGTGGCACAGTACGTACGTGAATATGGATTCACAAAACGATGGAGTAGGCGTTTGGCTTTGGTCAACACAAATGCACATTGGTGATAGTGGACGGTTGTCATCCCACAGTCCTGGTGAATGTATATGTATGAGGCTATCCATTCAACATTTGGCCACTTCTTGACTGTGGGCTTCCAAGTATGGATGGAACCCAACGCTGCCATGGCGCGCGGATGAGTGTTCACTCAACCAGTACTATCTCGGGCAGATTATTAGCAAACTGCCTCCCCCCCTCCCCTCACGCCCATGGCCCTTCCATATGTACCTACCTATGTAACCCCCCTTCTCCCACCCCAAGCTCCCAACCTTTCAGATATACGGCGTCAGACTAGGCAACACCCTCTGGTACGCAGCACCACTCGGCGGCTCACTGTATCAGGCAAAACACACATAAGTGTATTAGCCAAACGCACCCAAATCGACCACCACAACCTCCTCCTCCTCCCTCCTCACCAAAGAGAATTAAAAAAAAAAAGGAGAGAAAAAGAGAAAAAGAAACTCACATGGAATACATATAATCCCCCCACCACGGACCACCGCCCCACCAGAGCCAGCCGGTCCACACGTTATCCGACGAGTCACTATTGGCCGACATCATATCGGCCAGCATCCCCCTCAGTGCGGCGATGCACTGCGCGTTGGCGCCGCCGGCCGTCTCGCCCAGGACGGCCCTCTTGCCGTTGGCCTTGAGCCAGGCGGTGGCCTCGCGGATGCGCTCGCTGCCGATGGTGGACGAGACGCACTCCGGGTGGGTGCCCGAGCCGTCGGTGTCGAGGTATTGGTGCATTTCGTAGATCAGCTTGTTGGAGGGGTCGGTTAGGGAGAGGAGGGTGGCGCCGTTGCCGGAGGAGACCTAGGTACCATGGTAGGTTTTTTCTTATGTTAACACGCTCTGTAATAAGGTTTGAGGTTTGATGGGATGGGATGCGATGGAGGGATGGAGGGATGAAATAACGGTATGAAAGGCGAGCGCACCCAAGTCCATGCTCCTGTCCACGAGTTACCCTCGACGAAGATGTACTGTGACGTGGCGCCGGCGCCGCGGATGGCGTCGATGGCGGCCTGGTTGAGCTGTTTGACGAGCGTGTTGTCCATGTCGTGGTACTCGTTGTTGGTGTCGAAGATGACCTTGTCGTTGCTGGCGAACAGCTTGGCTGTGGTTGTCCACCAGGCCTGGAAACCTGCCACGTCGGTGATCACCTGCGAGTAGTACCGGCCGAAGTTATGGGGGTCGATGACCGCATAGGCTCCCTTGCCGGTGATGTACGAGACGATCTGTGCCGGTTATGGATGTGAGCTTCTCCCAGGCCAAAACACAACCAGAGAAATTTCCCGGGAAATGCATACGTCAGTGAGTCCCTGCGAGTATGTCGTGTTGATGCTCCCGGTCATTTCGGTCGGAATCAAGCGTTCCCTATATCGCCGAGTTAGTGGTGTCTCTCTTTCGCCTGAGCCTTTTCATGGTAGCCGGAATATTCTTACATCATGATGGGAATTCGAAACGTGTTCATCCCCTTGCCAATCAAGGTCTAGGTGACAACTCTGTCAGCTTTCTCTCCCATAAACCTCGCGCCAGGTCTGAGTGAACTTGGCAGCATGGGACGGCTCACATCGATGCTCGACTTGGCCGGCCAGGTGTACTGCTTGCCCAGCTGACCGGGGAGTGTATCCTGGCCAAACTCGGCGCCCGACTGGTTGACGCCTACAAACTGGAACTTGCTGGCTCGCTTGGTTGTCTTGGTCGTAGGGGTCGGGACATCACCGGCTGGTCCGGCCAGTGCCGAACCGGCAGCGGCGGTGCCGAGGAGGATGGTCAACAACTTCATGGCTGTCTTTCGGTGTTGCACGTAGTCTCAGTCGGAATCTACAAAAGACGTCCTTTTAGCTGCTCTCGTTAAGAGGGCTTTATATTACCTGCTTTGTCCTCCGATCAGGCTCCGTCAGTGCCGCTCGGAAACGTTTGCTCCGCCCCCCAAGCTTGAGCGGCAATGCGCGTCCATGCTACAGGTCTTGATCTTATATCATGCTGATAGCCAGCAACGAATTCAAGCGATCTCATCCCTATGCACATAATCTGGGGTAATAAAGATGTCGATCCTTTTCGGCGCGAGCGTGAATCTCAGGTATTGTGAGGTTGTTCCCTCGGTTCCCTACCGGTTTAGTCTCCCAATAGCCGGGATGTAAGAAGGGCGTCGTGTGGGGGGAATCGTTTCAGGGTCCCCCAAATGGGGATTCTTCTTCCGCCCTCCTCATATTATCAGCCGATGGGCCAAGGGGACGAGGCGACCAGGACTTCCAGTCACAGTATAGGACTGCCAAGTGATAGTATGCGCAAATTCTCAGTGAGTTCCAGGAGGAAAGATCTGGGGAATGAGAGGGATCTCTAATGGAGCACGTGGTTGGTTTAAAGAGTTTGATGCTGAGGCCTCAGAACGAAGGCAGGGAGAAGCGAAAGATGCCATGTTTCTAGATAGGCATATGATGCACGCTACGTTTGTGACACATGCAAGGTGATATCGTTGCCTGCAAAAGGTCTAGGCGTGCGCTATTTACCTTATCTTGTTCCAAACTCAAGACCTAGCACACAACAAGGTACTACTGACGCAGAGCTCCGCAGTTGTTAGTTCACCTAGGGTCCGGCAGAGGTGCTGGAGCTGCGAGTGCTGGGTTGGAATTGTCATTATCCAATGCAGCACCGCGGTGCCGTCACGGCTGGGATGGAAGGTCATAGCCTTGGGATTGAACCCAAGGCATTCACTTCGGGGGGTATTTATCAGGGTCCGGCATAGTGAGCAGAATATTGGTATATTCTCCTCCTCAAAAATCACAGAACCTCACAATTTTGAATTCAGTACGCCGGAACTTGGATCATTGGATGGGAAGCTTGAAAGCCACTCCCAATGTCGCAAAGAGAATTATAAATTAAATGAAAGCAAAGAAAGAAAAGAAAAAAGAAAGGAACAAAGGAACAACACAAACAACCATCAACCCCCCCTCCCATAATCCCTCCTCTCACCCCACCGCTCACTGCTCAGTACCAATTCCGAATCCGGCCCTCATCTCTAACCTGCCGTCTTGATGGCGACCGCGCACAAAGCTGCGCCAGGTCACCCTGGCCAGGCACACGACGCAGGAGGAACTTGCAGTAAGTTCCTCCGTTGTCATTCGTCTTCTTGATCGCTCGTACGACGGTGTATAACCCGTCGTACCGGATCCCCACCTCGGGCGCCCACTGGCGGTCATCACCCCGCCCGGCACTCCGGAGCACGCGCACGGGCCGGCCTGTCACGATGGCCTGCCGCAGCGAGCGCGTGTCGGCGCTCTCGGTCCCGTTCTGACTGCCCACAACCGCCGCCGTGGAGGAGGAGGAGGAGGGGGTGGTGGGGGAGGTCGTGGGTGCGTTGTTGGGGCGGTCGGCGGAGTACCAGATGTGGTCCCCGTAGTCCACATCCAGGTCGTGGTAGGTCGACGACCTACCCGACACCACAATGCTGTAGGCGCCCCGGGTGGGGTCGCCCACGATCCCCTTGACCATGTGCCCGTGGGCACCGTGAAAACAGGCCAGGGCCTGCAGTGGCCACCAGGCGCCTGGGGCCAGGCCGTTGTGGCCGAAGACGCGGCAGTCCCGCCTCTGGTGCCTGTACCGCGGGTCCCACGTGTAGCGGGCCGCGGGGGACCGCATCATGCCGTGCATGATGCCGTTGACGCCCCAGATCGGATGGTTGGGGGGAGGAAGGCGGGATCTGCCGGCGGGGCGTGCGGGAGCGGGAGCGGCGACGGGTGCTGGTGCGGGTGCTGGTGCGGGTGTGGCGGCAGGACCGGGAGCGGCGCTGTTGGCACCCCAGTTGGCGCCGTCGAAGCGGGCGAGGATCGCCCCCGCCCACCGGCGTATATCCTCGGGCACGTATGCCCGGTGCGCCTCGCTGGCCACCACCTGGAGAACCAGGTGGAGGTTCAGCGGGTCCCTCCTCAGCTCGGGAGTCGGCCCTTCCACGAACTCCAAGTGCCACAGGAAGGCCCGGACGGCCTCCCCGTAGCTGGCCAGGGCCTCGTCCAAGACGTCCTGGCCGCGGGCCCTGTTCTTGCACTTCACGACGTAACTCGTTAGCTGCATCCGCCCCTGCAGTAACGAGTCCGTCCAGGGCCTGATTGACCCAGGTGCGGCGACGGTCGTGCTGGGAGTCGCAGCGGCGGCGGCGGAGGCGGAAGTGGTGGTCGCGGCGGGGGCAGCACTGTTCACAGCGACGGGGTCGACCTCGCCCGGTGCTGGGACCACGACATCGGCGGATCCACCTGCGACGGATACCGACGCGGAGGTTGGACGAGAGACTGGGCTCGGAACTTCGGCCATTTCGTCTAAAGTTCGGATAAGATATTAGTATAGTGGGATCAAAGGAGAGAGGGATCTGCCTTCTAGGATGGGTCTAACCTCGGTTGATGTATATGTGGTGGAGGAGGCTGTGAATGCGGCTTTGGCTTTCGCCGACTTGATGGGAGTGGTTGACTGCTCGTGATCGCCTGCCTGCTCTTTCTCCGGTTAGCTCCAGCATACCGACGCACAACGATGCATAACGAAGCATATAGGTGCGGAACAATGAGTGGTATGTGCACACTAGGGGAATGATAAACGCATACCAGGGATTGTGTGAACTTACTGGTTGTTATCGACGTCTGATATCTGCTTCCTCTCGGGATCTGTCGTCCTTGAGGCTTCCGTCTGTTCGGTTGGGAGAGATTGTGACCGACGTGAGACGTGAACGCCGGAAAATGTGACCAAATAGGAATTGAAGGGACCGGAAAAGGCTAACTGTCTAAGTGCAAGGGGAGTGAATGGTATGACAGTCCACGTTCGTTGAAGACAGCCGGGGTCGTAGGGATTCCGTCCGTTCCGTTAAGAGATTCTGGCTAATGGAAAATGACACCGACGAGGGGTCAAGTGCGAGGGCACCAGTGAATGCTATGACGGTTCTCTTTCGTCGAGTGCAACCGGGGTCGTATGCCTTGAGAAGCAGAGTCTGCTGGGTGAATATAGAAAGGTACGAACTCCGACGGTGGTGGTTGCGGTGAGATGCTCGAGAAGAGTATCTGGAATAGATTCGAGAACAGGTTTGAGAACAGCTTCGGAAGGAGAATATCTTCGAGAAGAGGTTCGAGAACAGCTTCGAGAACAGCTTCGAGAACAGCTTCGAGAACAGCTTCGAGAACAGCTTCGAGAACAGCTTCGAGAACAGCTTCGAGAAGAAGAAGAGCTTCGGAAGAGGTTCGAGAAGATGTTTGAGAATAACTTTGAGAAGAGGCTGGGGAAGAGGTTTGAGAAGAGGTTCTAGATCAAGTTCGAGAAGAGATTCGAGAACAGTTTCGAGAACCGATTCAAGAAGAAGAGTGCGGGTCCGGATGCCGAGAAGGTATGTGACCGACACGCAGAGTACCGGAATAGTAGATTGAGCGAGTCTCGGAACACAAGAAGGATGTGAAGGTAGGAGTATAGTACTTCCGTACGTACAGCGAGGAAGAAGAGTGAAGTTCCGCTGTGGCTGCTCGAAAAAAAGAAGGAAGTCCTGTCACGGAGTGAGTTGAATTTCGGAACGGAGTGATAAAAGTCACCCCTCCGTCGGTCTGTGCCCTCCGTCCGCCGGTCTGTGCCCTGATATAGCTGTGGAAGTTTGAGCTTCGGAACTGTCACGAAATCGACACGTTACTTCGCAACACTGACTCGCACGTGCATGCCGACCGGAGTGGGGCCAAGCCGGAGGATATCAGAAAAGGGGTTCCGGGGCGGATGTCTTGAGAGCGTCTGCCAGGTTCCCGCCGGAACGGGGCTTAACTGTCGGCGTGAAACCATCACCCTGAATCCCCGTGATACTCTGGGACCGAAGGCTTGATGTAGCACAATGCCAATATAGAGGGTTTGTCTGAGTGTCCGGTATAGTCTTTGCCTTTCGCTTAAATGTCTCTGCCCTTGGTATAGCCAAGGTACAGAGCTTTTCTCTTAGATCCAGTACTCTTCGAGGAACGAGTGTTTTTCGATTGCTGAAGGCAGTTTCGACTGCTACAGCAAGTCGTTATATGATAGGGTATAGTAGGTAATTATCTTTCAATGGGGTTGACTGTTGATGTGATCTCCGTCAATGATCACGGTTGTTCAGTCCAAGACCCCAAGTTCCCCTAGGATTAGGTACACCCTATCGCCGCATGTCAGGGAGGTGTATTTGTGCCTCCTATAATGAGTGTTATGGCAATAACAGGTCTCTGAAAGACCTCGTTCTTATTCAAAGCCCTTGGACCGTTGTAGCAAGACACAGGGCGCCGATTGCCAAGACACTATCTCCAGATCTCGCAATCATTGCGCGGTGCTAGTACGGGAAAGAATACCGCACCCTATCATCTATGGAGGTTTCTGGACTGCACGAGTATTCTGTAACTCTGTACATAGTGGCTAAAGGATGAGCTCAGGGCTGGAACCTTGGACACACAGCTGCTCGGTGGGTATAAAGACTATAGACGAGATAGTAAAGAGGACAAAGACTGGAGAGAGCAAATATTTAGCGAATGCAATGCCTTTGGATTTAGATGTAAGAATGAGGAAGAAGAGGCCGGAAGTGGATGCCTCCGACTGAACTAATCTAGGTGCCCTGCAGGCACGTGACTCTGGTGGGTTCTTCCAACCGATCGCATCAAATAGGAGACAGTGACGGATAGTTACAGTAACTGTCGCTTTATAATGTCCGCATTCGGCCAGAGGGTGGCTGGTACGGGTGGCTAGTGTGAATATATTTGCGGGCCTAGTGACTTTCTCTCGCTTAGGGTTACATCACGGCACCCTGCGCCGCAACCAGCGTCAGACTATATGGTATCTTAGTACTCCATAGGTGTTTTATGTTTTGTATGAATATTATGCTGGCAATGGTAATTTTGATATACAAGGTCCTCGCACTAACAGACCTGCGGGTAAGTTATAGCGGTTTCTGTTAGGCGAGGATTCTTGCCCGCGCCAAAGCCAGAAATGGCCAGCGCTCTGTACGAACAAGACACGATAACGAGGTGGACGATTATTAGCCGGCCTCTCCAAAGCCGGACCGCATTGCACGTTGCGAAGTGATTGGCGTCGGCAAGGGTTCAACAGCCCCCAATCCACCAGAGCGACATCATAGGATTGCTTGGTACCTCCCACGTTCTCTCGGCACGAACCTTACAACAAGCAGAATCATGCTGCCGAGTGGACATCTACACATGTAGGGAGGAACCTCCGGCGCGGCATGCGTGTCAACCGACGCTACTGCAAGGAACGCAGTTGTCGGTTGCACAAAGGCAGCCCAGGGACATTGGAATCACTGGCTGGATGCGGAGCCATGGGATTGGCCTGGTGGCTGAAGAATAAAGTCATAGTTATAAACCATGTGCGCGCCCGGGGCCATTCGGCATTTTTTGCCTCTGCAACGGCGCGTGGTCCAATATCCCCGCATCTCGCTGCCGTCTCCTCAAACCCCAGCGACGCGGTCACAATGAAGACGACCACACTCGCCGTCTCCCTGTTAGCGGTTGCTCCCGCTGCTGCTACCGTCGCCGGCCGGTCCAGGTTTCAACCCGAGGGCAAGTCGATCAACTTCACCTCTGTCTCGGGCTACTTTGTCCAGGACGACCCCGCGACCAGTCCCACGGGGTTTGACTATGTGGGTGACCACCCATCAGCGCATAGCTAAACTAATGATAGCTTCTTGCTTCGTCCTTGGTCTATGGGCACTAACAATGCCCAGGCCACGGTCAACTTTGGCTTGATCAACCGGACGTATCCGACAGACAAGCGCTTTGACCCAAAGCGCGAGAAGACGCAATGGCAGCGCTTCGAAGCGTATGTCAAGCACCTAAACTCTGGCTGCGGCAAGAAGCCCAACGTCGAGTACAAGGTTCTCTTCATGGGACGTCACGGCGAGGGCTGGCACAATGCTGCCGAGTCCTTCTATGGCACTCCCGCCTGGAACGTGAGTGTCTCTTGGCTCCGCCCCTAGACTGCGAACGTCAAATTCTAACGCAGGTAACCACAGTGTTACTGGGCCGAGCAAGAAGGCAACGGAACCGCGGTCTGGGCCGACCCGCTGCTGACGCCAGCCGGCGAGCGCGAGGCATACAAGGCGAACGCCTACTTCAAGGACCGTTACGAGACGCAGAAGATGCCCTGCTTTGAGTCTTACTACAGTAGCCCGCTCTCTCGGTGCACCGTCACGGCCAACCTCACCTTCGCAGACATCAACCTCCCCGCAAACCGTCCGTTTGTGGTCACCGTCAAGGAGGGCTTTAGGGAGGGCATGACGGTTCACACCTGCAACCGAAGGTCAACCAAGGTACCTTAACCCTTAACCCAGCCACCGCCGTCGTCGAACGCCGCCCTTTGGTGACGTCCTCTAATCTTTCTCACACAGACCCAAATCTCCGCCATGTTCCCGACCTACCAATTTGAGCCGGGCTTCACCGAGGCCGACGAACTCTGGCGCGCCACCGAGAGCGAGACGGACGCGGCCTTCGCGGCGCGCGCCAAGGCGGTCCTCGACGACGTCTTCACCAACGACAAGAACACGTGGATCAGCATCACGGCGCACTCGGGCGCCGTCGCCAAGCTTCTCGAGGCGCTCAACCACCGCGCCTTCCGCCTCGCCACGGGCCAGATCATCCCCGTGCTGGTCAAGGCCGAGGTCGTGGAGAAGCAGCCTACGCCGACGTTCGAGGCGCACGAGCCCTACTCGACTTGCGATGCGCCGCCTGTCACGTCGATTGCCGGGCAGGGGTGTGTCTGTGCTACGGGGACGGGCCTGCTAGTTGCGCCGACGGGGATTTGAATCCGAAGGGGGTGCTAATATTGTGGAGGGGCAGACAGGACAGGACGGCCAGGAGAAAATATAAAGCGAGTGTGAAGATGCTAATGCAGTAACGGGAATTGCTAATGTTTAGATCTAACCCTTCAATCAATCGTTGATAGCACTGCAAAACATATATATATGCCCTGCCGGGGGCTACGCCAACTTTTTGAATCGGTATTGTACAATACCAAAACGGAAGCCATCTATCTCCCTTTGTGGTTGAGGGAACATTTGGGGAGTTAAGACATGTGGCCCCGCACCCAACTTCAAGACCGACCACTTCAGCGAGATAGCAGAAAAGTATTAGATTCATACCAACTTCGCCCTTGTTTCAAAATTAAAATCCGAGGCCAAAGTCTGGTGGGGGTTTGTTGTGGGGTGAGCTGAGATGGTGCCGCAGCACTGCAATTGATCAATTGCCTATTTGGGAACCTATACCTGGTCATCACGATCGGGTCGGTGCAACAATAAGGGAGGCTTACTTCAGTATCACAACCACAGTGGAAGGGCATAAGCGCGTTGCTGAGTTTGAACACCGAGCATGGACTGCTGGAGTGTATTTATACTTATACTCTCTTGTCCACAGGTTCAAGTTGTTAGCAATGGGATTTTCTCTCCCTTGTTCTTCTCCCTAAATCTGGGCAAGGTGTTTTCCACGGCAATTTGAGCCCAGTCTGCCTGTCACCATGGTACTCTTCAACATCGCCGCGCTCGTGGCCATCGCGGCATCGTTCGTGTCCGCCGCGGTGCCGAACTCGGCGCGCTTCGACCTCTCCAAGCCGTCGTACGACCTTTTCCGGTCCAAGCGCCTGCACGACGACACCGTGCAGCAGGGCTTCACCTTCGACAACGTCAACCGGCGCCTGTTCGTCTCGCAGCGGCGCAACGGCGCCAGCACCACCTCGGGCGACCTGTGCATCACGCAGCTCGACTTTTCCGGCAAGGAAGTCGCGCACATGTACCTGAAAGGGTTCGGCCACGGCGTCTCCTTCGCCGCACAGGCCGACGGCTCGGCAACCTACCTCTGGACCGAGGTCGACGCCAACAAGAACGGCTACGGCCAGCGGCTAGCACGCTTCAAGTTCGTCCCCGGGACCACCCTGACCAAGTCCTCCTCCGCCCTCAAGAAATACACCCCCGTCGCGGCCGCCACCGAGCACACGTGCGCCATCGACCCGGTCCACAACCGGCTCGTGGTGCGGTACCACCTGAGCAACGGTGGTGGCAAGCATATCGCCGTCTACGACCTTGCCGCGGCCACCAGGGGCGACTTCTCGCGGCCGCTGGCCGACTTCAAGCAGCCGCTGCCCAAGACCAAGGGGAAGAACTTCCAGGGCTATGCGGCGTACGGGCGGTACCTGTACATGCTCTGGGGCGACTCGTACGACGCCAGCCCCGGCGGCGTGCTCAACTCGGAGGTGGCGAGCGTCGATATGAATACGGGCAAGGTCGTGCAGGGCCCACTGATTACCAGGGCCGGGTCGACGCTGAGTTTCCGGGAGCCCGAGGGGCTGGCCATCTATAAGACGGCGGGTGGGGAGGTGAGACTGTTTATGGGCTTTGCGTCCGGGAAGACCGGGGATCGGAGGGCGAATTTGTTTTATAAGAACGCGACTGTGGCTTGAGTTATCGCCGTGCGGTTGTTGGTGCAGTTTGTATTTAGATTCGGAGATGTATGATACTAGATACATCTAAGTATATGCTGAAACGGCTGCTTGTTGAAACCCATTGTTACTAATCCAAGTGTTCATTCTAGGGTACTGACATCCAATTCGGTTACCATGGGGGGGGAACTATCGCAAGCGAAACGTCTTCACCTCCATCCCGGCCCCAAACAACCCGGCCGTGTCCTCCATCAACCCCGGCACATACGCCTCACCAACAAAAGGCCGCCTGCTATCAGCCCCCCTAGGATCGTATCTCAGCATATACGGCGTTTCGCCTCCCTTCAGCAGACACAAGGTATCGCCCGTCCTTGTCGTAGCCGGTACCATAGCAAAGTAACGCGACTCTCTTGTTACCGCAAAGCAGCGGTGCACGGCGTGGTCCTCTGCCGCCTGTAACCACGCAGTCATGTTTGGCTTGGCATGATGGTTTTCTGTCATCGTTGCGGTTGCCGCACTATGATTATTATTATTATTATTATTATTATTATTATTATTATTATTATTATTATTATTATTATTATTATTATTATTATTATTATTATTATTATTATTATTATTATTATTATTATTATTATTATTATTATTATTATTATTATTATTATTATTATTATTATTATTATTGTTGTTGTTGTTGTTGTTGTTGTTGTTGTTGTTGTTGTTGTTGTTGTTGTTGTTGTTGTTGTTGTTGTTGTTGTTGAGGGGAGGCTTACGCGGGTCATGTTTGGTGCTGAACGCGACGGCTGGAATTAGTTTGGATAGAACCTAGTAAGATTGATGATTTCTCTAAGGCTTAGAGTGAGCGGGAATGCCTGACTTAATTAAGTATAGAATGAGAACGTGACCCCTGTTACCACTATGGAGGTCGGAGCTAGCCGTGATACGGGCATCCCTAATGGGTTCCTCCTATAATAGTCTTACTAAAAATAAGGGGTGCCTGGGCGCTAGAATTAGGTCATCTACATTACGAAGCGCTAGTCCATTTCCATTGTGGTGTCCTATCTATTGGTAATTCCAATACCACCCTCTACCATAGTCTGACCGCTATTCATCTTAGGAAAACATCTCTGAGAGCTTGCTTGGACTTCTTCGCGAGACAGACAGGTTTGGATCTTCCGAGAATCGTCCCCGTTTGGCTAACTTTCAATCTCCACGATCCAGAGGCTTCAGCTCGCTCAATGGTGCCACCGGACTCGCCAGCAATGCTGGAATCTTTGGATTGCCCAAGTCTCAATATGGGCAACCTTCTCCTCCACTTCGAGCTCAGGGTAGGAGGACCTGAGGCTTCTCGGCGGACACCCTCAGGCTCATTCCCGGACTGGGCAGTTCCGAGATTGCTCGCTAGTGAGGTCGACGAGGGTTGGTTCGAAGGCGTCCGTGCCCTCATTATCACAGTGCTTGTTTGTGAGGGAACAGACCGCAACTCCTTTCTGCGTCTCTCTGTACCGGTCGCAAGTAGTCCGGGGGGGCTCACGATAGCAGGGCCAGGGTTGAGAGGCTGACCTCGTTCCGGCGCATCTCTCTTGTCCACCGAGGTACGCGGTTCACCCACCGGACTCTGAGCTGTCGTGGGAGTCTCCTAGTCGTCCCACTCCTTCATCAAAGCCGGTATGGTCATTCCGCGTTTCACGTCACCCATCCAGTTGAGGTTCTCATCCAGATAGTCCGGAGAGTCTCCTACATCATCCAAGGACTCCGCGCCCCCTGCCAGCGACAAAATCTTTACCGTCGCCCATTGTATCCTGAAAGCTGCAAGCATGCGCTCGGCGTACCGGTGCTCAACCTTGACATAAAAAATGTCGCCCGTCTGAACCTGATGGGATACCGAACTTTGCCGATCTTGAGCAAAGACCGGGTTCAGGTCGTTAGCCTCCAGGTCACCATATGTCTTGTTGAATAGATCCGAGAAATCCTGTGGGCGTGCGTTCTCGGAGATATCGAGGGTTGTCGCTCTCGAGGCTATGTCCTTTCGACGAGGCATCCAATGGAACTGCAGCTTGACTCGAGTATAGTGCGCAGTGACACCTTTCGGGTTCAAGCCCTTGATGATCTTCCCGTCAATACCGAGCGGCTTGAAGGCGAAATAACCCTCGCTCCACCAATTGTGAAGCTGCCTGTTGAGACTGATCATGTTCCATGATCTGTCGCTGACCCCTATCTTTGACGAAAAGAACTTGCGACAGTGAATAGCCCATAAATGAACCGGCTCGGGCTCATCCTCGCCATCATCCATCGAATCAGAGTCGGCATCCTCTGGGATGTACTCTGGATCGCTAGCCAGTTCTGGCTTCTCGTAATGAATGAGGGTAGCTGCCACTGCGAGGTATTTGTTGAGATGGGTTCGGGACTTCTCATTATCGTTGAGACTGAACGGGACGATGTGAAAAATCTCGGGATTGCCTGTGCCAAGGACGACGCAGCGATGATTGTCGAGCATTGCCCGTTCTGCTTTCTCAGCTTGGGATCTTATCAGTTGGTCGCTTTTCTCCGTCGCTTCAAGTTTCAGCGACTTCTTCGACGTCTTCGACGTCTTCGACGTCTTCGACTTGATCGGCGACAACTGCGGCTTTTTGTCATCGTAGCTCTCGCTCGAGGATTGTTGTTTGCGCTGGATTTCGTGTAATTGAGCGTCCAACTCTTGGAAGCGCCCTTCCGCTAGGTCGAGAAGAAAGGAGTCATAGTTGCTCAGATTCTTGGTCATAACTGACTCAATATGTTAGATAGCTCATTAGGTAGCAGGAGATACGTGCTGGGGGCACTCACCCTTCTTGACAAAGCAGGGCATTACCATCAAGTCCTTGAGCCACGAGCCTAGGATCCAGTCGCGCTGAATGGCCGGTAAATTCGCCAGCCCTCGGAACGTGTTGAAGTCCATCATCATCACAGTGGCGATGGCTAGTTGACCGAGGGGCTTGTATCGATCGCGGGGCTCCCCAGTGAACTCAGGGAAATGTTCTTCCCAGTAGCGCTCCAATTTCCTGAGGAAGTTTAGCTTTTCTTTTGCTTCATCGACGGGTAAAAGGTGCCCGGTCGGCTCTCGCTCCGTGTCCATCTCTAAGATGCGACGAAGGGTGTCGCGCCGGATGGGGTTGGTCGAGTCTCTTTGGAGAAACTCCGCCAGCATGCCGTGCCAATCCGGCTCTTGCATTCTCGCGATCGCCACTGTCTCTTGTCGTCGTGCGGTGGGGAGAAGAGAAGAGCGGTGCTGACAATTTGTGTCGGAGTGGTGTCACAGGACAAAGTGATGTAGAAACTTGGTTGAATTGCAGCCGATACTTTCTTTTTTGGTATGCAGAAACTTGGTTGAATTCAGAATTGTAGTGCTGGTTAGTCTCAGGTGCTCAGACTAGCTGTGGCGCGGTGACGTACCGTAGGGACCCACTACCATGCTCAGGGAATTCCAACCAATCAGAACCCCCGTACAACACCAGCATTTACTCAGTGCGCGTTTAGGTATAGTCTCTAAGGCACAGACTTCACCCTCGTACGCGTCGCCAGCTGCAAGCTGCTGGCAGGGTGGGGCGGTATAGGTTGCTGCTACATAGCTATAGAGACCATGCATATATATCACTAGACCTACTTTAAACGCGCACTAAATAAAGTCTATAGATATTGTGAATATTTTTATATTAATTAGTATATTATTAATTTATAACTTTTATATAGAATATAATACTTAATAATTATAACGTAACGTATCTTATAAGCGAGATGAACATATAAGCGAATTGAACACTTCCCATCATACTATAACAGTCAACTACAATTACAACACAACAACATTATGAACCTACTATAATTACATCAGAAACGGCTGAATCAGATGCTTCTGCAACCTCCTGATAAGTGCGGGCATTATGACCAGGCTTGCCGCACACACCACAGCACCGAACCTTCGTACGAGCCCCCCCTGCACCACTACCATCCGGCTGCATTTCTTATGCCACCTCCCCAACCACAGCCTTTTGGTCTAGTAGATCCTTTGCATCTTCTACTGCAAGTGATCCTCCAAGCTGTACACGCGTTCTTTTGGCTCTTCGGCGCTTGCTTAGCGCCTCGTTGGCCTTGCGGAGCGAAGCATTCTCTGCCTGAAGGAGGGCCACCTGGTGCATTATAGCCATCGTACCCTTGGTAAGCTGGTCCACAGCAGCCAACATCGAAGTCGGGGAGCTATTTTGATAGTTGGCAATGCGAGTCTTGATGAGCGTTAACTGTGAGTTGGCTTCTTAGGGGTTGTATAGTGTCTGGAAGACCCAAGATTGTATAGTGCCTGGCCGTAAGGTTGGGGGTATTAGTATACGAAGCTTGATATCTAGCTTCGAAAGTACCCTCTCTAGATCGTACAGTACAAGGCCAGCCCCTATAAAACCGCCCTATATATTCCTCTTGGTGATAGAGGCAAAGAAGGCTATACGAAAGGCACAAAGGAACTCGAGCTTGCTTACGTGGCTAATATACACGCGTATCAAGTCCTCGATCTGGCGACCGTACACCTGCTTTAACGGCCCAAAGCAGCCAACATCAAGTGGCTGGAGGAGGTAGGATGAATATAGAGGCATGCAGAGCGTGATAATGTTGTTCTACTGGCAGTAGAGCTCGAACTCGGTTGAATGGTGGCTTTCGTGGCCATCGAGGATCAACAACCGGTATTTGCCCTTTATCCGAGGCGCTATATGGTAATCGAAGTGCTTGATCCAATCAAGGCCTACTGCATTGGTAGTCCAGCCATTCTCGGTGGTTGCAATACGCCAGTCGGCCGGGAGGTTGCACTCGGTATACCAGTTGGCGAGGTAGTATTGCGCCGCTAAGATAATGAACGGAGGGATAGCCCAGCCAAGGGCATTAACGCCTTGGATTACGGTCGCCCATTTGCGGTTGCCAGGCTGGGCTAGCTTCGCCTTACCACGGCCATCCGAGGTTGTTACCACCATGCCTGGGAAGATAATGCCCATTATAAACCCAGTCTCGTCGAAGTTGTAGATATCGTCATCTACGATACCGTACTTGGCCTTAACGTTCCGTACAAGGGTAAACCATTCGCCAATGACCTTTGGATCCTCGCATTTGGCCCTCTGGTAGTCGTATCTACGCGTATAACATATCCGGAGCTCTGGCTGGCGTTTGACGAAGTTATACGCCCAGAGCTTACTGACAGGGGGCGCGTCGCATACGTATAGCAGTTGGTTGGCCATATCTTCTACACCACGTAGTCTCGGGGGAAAGGCTCGCTCAGATAGCTCAATTATATACTGAACAAGAGCCTTCTCTTCGGAATCGGTGAGCCGGCGCGAGTTGGGCGTAGTATCGCGTCGTGCAGGCTTGCCGTCGCGTCGGTTTCGGATGGTATTGACTGTGACGTTATAGATATTTGCTGCGGCGCGAAGACTAAGTTTTGGGTTCTTTTGAATAGCTTCAAGGGCTAAGATTACCCTAGACTCTCTTGAAGCCGAAGACATCGTTGGGTGTAGAGGATTTTGGTTGTGGTATGGAGAGAAGACGCGTCGCAGTCAAAGTGTTCAATTCGCTTATATGTTCATCTCGCTTATAAGATACGTTAGGTATATAGTAGAAGTTATATACATACGAAAGTTATATGTGATGAAACCATAGGTAGTCCTACCTCTGAAAGGGTTCGCCGGTCGATATCATGGACCGTATAGGGTGCAACGGTATATATGTAGTTGCACGAGGGAACTAGAAGTGTAGCTCTGCCGCGTGCAGAGAAATACCCTGCGCTGCACAGACCAACTCTATAGGCCCGACCAGAGCTCCACAACCCTCGTGCCTGAATCCTAACCCTACTCTACGACATGGCACGGGCTATGCCCGTGACACTACCCCGTCCTCCAAACAAGGCCCCCCCTTCCGGGCCGTCGGCCAAATTGGCCAATTCTTACAAAACGATGTTTTTCCTAGCCATGCGCCCGGCCTAAGCCGGTCATGTAATACCCTTCTTCGCCGACAAACATTCCGTTCTACTGGTTCAATTGCCCGCGCGCGTGCATTGAACCCGCTTGCCGCCGCGCCAGTCACCCTGGTTCTGCCTCGCGCGCTCTGTTCCGTAGCCTCGGCAAGCGCCATCTTCCTTCCAGCGCCGGCTCCTGCTACTCCCGCTGCTCCCGCGCACTCTGTCCTGGTTCCCGTACGCCGTCTTGTGGCGCCGACGACCGTCGTGATAATTCCCTGGTATTGCGGCGCGCGACCTACGCCGGGGGTCTTGGCTGGTCCGGGTGGGCATTATAGTACGCCTAGATCATATTATTACAGCTATATAGGTCTGTGGCCAATTGCTAGGTCGGTTCGTTATAGCCCTCCTACTTTACCAGGTATTGCCAACGGCCGTTATCCGCCTTACTATAGTCTAGGATGCTCTCGAATCGATATTCCTATACTTTTTCGCCGTCGTCAGTTCTTATAATGACCCTGTTGCAGTTGGCTCGAATGTCTTACTATATTTCTTCCTGCCCGGGCAGTCCGGCTTAGATATAGGGCCTTATCTGTAATATATGGAATGTGTTGAAAACCTTTATATTAGCCGGTAATTTCAATGTCACGGCATATAACGATGCTTTTATAACCTCAAATGGTCCCTCCCAATAGGGTTCTAGCTTCTATAATAGCCAGCCAGTCTTATAATTCTATATACTCAACGTTACATGGTCGCCTACCTGGTGGACTGGCGCATCATCTCGCCTTTTATTTACGCCCTCTTTATAGCGGTCCTAAGCCTGTTTCAAGAGCGCCATAATATAGTCCTAAATCGCCTGGAACCGGGCCGCAATTTCCAATATACGGAAGAACTCCTGTCGTTGCAGCTCTATAAGATTCGGGGGGTATAGCTTTGCTGGCTTAACGCCTATACGCAGGTGGAAGCTGTAATTCGCGTAGAACGGCGATACGCCTATTGTCTCCGATGCCGTATTATTGCCTGCGAATTCGGCTACTAGCAGCCAATCTACCTAGTCATCTTGTGCCTAGTCTACGAATAGCCTTAGGTATTGCTCCAATTCCGTATTGATATACTCTGTCTAGCTATTCATTTAGGGGTAGTAGGCCGATGATGGCTATAGTGTCACCCCCAGCCGTGACAACAGTGCTCTCTAGAATGTCAATACGAACTATATGCCGTAGTCGGAAACAATAGTCTCCAGCGTGCTATATAGGCTATAAACTCTTTCGATAAATTGTTCTGCTAGTTCCTCTGCTTCCAGTATAGCTATTAGTATAAAGTGCTGTATTTTCATTAGGCAGTCGACTATAACCGCAATATATTGGAAATCTTGGCCTCTCCTTACGTATATAGGCAGCAGTATAATATAGTCGACCGAGATATCGCGCCATCATGCCAGTAGTATAGGCAATAGCTTTAAGAAGCCTGCTAGCGCTGCCTTTATGGTCTTTATTTTATCATAGAGAAGGCATCTCTTGCAATAGGCATATACTGCTTAGCTTATTCTTGGCTACCAGTAACGCCTGTTTATTAGGTCCAAGGTCTTCGTACGGCCTAAGTGCTCCCCCGGCACTAAGGCGTACACTCTATAGATCAGTTGAAGGTATATGTTACTATCATCCGGGTCGATAATTATGCGGTCCCTATAGTAGGCCTTGCCGGCCACGGCTCTATACTCTGCAAATGGGACTCTCAAGCGCTTCTTGATCTCCTTCAGCCATACGCGCGCTGTTTTATTAGCTAACGCTGCTAGAACGCTATATAGGAACGCTGAGTTCGTATATATATCTGATAGTAGATTGTCGATATACTGGCTTACGTCGAGTTGGAACAGTTGTAATTCTTTGTCTTCGCCGAACGTGGCTGGGTTGAAGCAGTCGGGGTAGATTAGTGGCCTCTTTCTATTGCGCAGTCTATTATCCTTGATGCCTTGTAGTATATCCTCTAGTTTCCTGCTTAGCGCGTCGAGCCTTGTATTTACTGCGCCCGGTCAGTATACAATGCGGAAGTTGAACTATGAAAGGAACTCTGACCACCTTATATACCTTAGTGACAGCTGTTTCATTATTATGAAGGTCTATAGGTTCTTATAGTCTATAATGATGTCAAACCATTATACCGCGCCCTCGAGTTCTAGGCGCCATTCTTCTAGAGCCTTGATAATAGCTAAGAGCTCCTTGTCATAGATATTATAGTTGTATTCCTAGGCGTTATATTTGGCACTAAAATACGCCATAGGGTAAAGCTCGCTATCATTACCTACCTATGAGAGCGTACCGCCCACTGACTAGTCTGAGGCGTCGGTTTCTACTATAGTTGGGCGCTCCTAATTGAAGATTCTAAGCGCGGGCGCTGTTGAAAAGCTTCATTT